GAACACACTTCAGAAACACAGGTACAGGAACTAGACCTTGCGGCAACCTGGTCACTGCCTGGCCAGTTTAAATAGTGCGCCCTGCACCGTCATTGGTGCCAGGAGCGCTCCGCGTGCGCGAGTGCGCATGCGCGGCCGCAATTGCCGCCGCCCAGGTCCTAGTGCCTGCACATTAGTGCTCCTAGGCAATCTGCGCATGCGCAGACCTGTGCACCGCGGCGAGACCCGCAATCCCTGACAGCCAGGAAGAAGGGAAACCTACAGCGCAGAGGCAAACTGATATTACCCCAAGGTGGATCTCTGGCCGCAGTGAAGAAATCATGACAACGAAGGGCGCCAGTCACTTTAGTCTTTTTCACGTTTTATTGCTCCAGCTCACTTCTATTGCATACCCCAAAAGTAAAGGGTTAATGTCTTTTTTTAGAATCGTATGCCATACAGATCATTCCTTTAATATAAAGTAAAGTTAAGCGAGTGCTATAGTAAAATTACAGCTGCTAGGACACGAAAAGGTACCATAAAACCTCCAAAACAAATAATCATAAAAGGCAGTGCAGCGCTGTAAAATGAATGTGCAAAAATTCCTACTAAACAGAATTAATAATATATATATCTTATTTCATAAAGTGCAAATCATGCAAATAATGCCACAACACTCCACCATAGATGCAATAAATATAAAGTGCGAAAGAACACATAGGACCACAGATGAGTGGTTACAGTGGCAAGTATGTGAGAACAAGTCCAAGCAATAAACGTGAAAACCGTAGCAGATCTCAGCTCAAGGTGTTCTATTCCTCTAGATCAGGAGTGACTAATGATGTGACTGAAAATAAGTGAATTGCGCACTCACCAGATGTGCGCTATAATTACGCATTTGAGATCACTTTTGTCTCATCCGGTCAGTCCAAAAACATAGGTGATCACACTCCAATCCAAAACTCGTGCTGATGTTTGTGTGACAGTGGGTTGATTGTTGACAAAATATCCGACCACCGGCTAGATCAGCCTCTCACCTTAAAACTTCGACCCTTGCGGGTCAAAACACATAAAAGGATCCCTCTCACAGATCCTTCAGGACGGTTGTCACTCTTCTTACCGACATTTGGAAAAGCTGCACCCCTGTGCTGATTTGTAAGGTAGTCACTGGTGAGAAGTAATTCTGAAGGCTCTGCTCTGAAGGGACCAGATGAGACCTGGAGACCAGGACAGCGTTTGATCTTGTCTGGAGAGGAGCCATTATTGGAGTGCTGACCCTTAGAGAGAGTTGTGTATGCAGTGGGAACAAATCTTTGGAGTGACAACCGTCCTGAAGGATCTGTGAGAGGGATCCTTTTAAGTGTTTTGACCTGCAAGGGTCGAAGTTTTAAGGTGAGAGGCTGATCTAGCCGGTGGTTGGATATTTTGTCAACAATCAACCTACTGTCACACAAATATCAGCACGAGTTTTGGATTGGAGTGTGATCATCTATGTTTTTGGACTTTATAAGCACAGAAATATATAATTTTCGTGTTGTGTGTTGTTGCACTTTTTTCACATGTATGCACATTGATTTTCACTGAATGGGGGTATTTATGGATACACGTGTGTATTGATGTACACGTTGGTTCATATTTATATATATTTATTTATTTATTCCTGTAGATGCACTAATATATATTTTTTTTAGAATTGATTATATATTATATATTTCCAATAGCTGGAAATATTGATTTATTTTTTATTTTCATCACTATCACTGTTGAAATTTGTTTTGGGTTCACTGATCACTGGATGATATTTATTTGTGAAAATTTCACTTAAAAGGGCACGGTATTGGTATTATTATTATATGATATGTTACATGATAAGTTATATATTATTATAATTATGATTTGATACACATATTGTGGGTTTATACACGGATAAATATTTTATATGAGTAGCGCTACATTTTATTTATTTATTACTTCACATATTCATTGGTATATGATTTAATGTTAGCAGCTTCTCTTGGTTTATATTTTTTTGTTTGTTTTGAGCGCAGGAGGTTCACACCATTACAATTCAAGTGTTTGTTCACCAATGCCGGAAGTCTGCCAAGCAAAATAGGTGAGTTGGAAGCTTTGATGCACACTATGAGTTAATTGCTATTGCTGAATCTTTGCTTCATTCTTCAAGTGACTGGGCTATTAATATTCCTGGCTATGCTTACTTTTGGAGAGACAGGGTAAAAAGGAAAGGTGGTGGTGTCTGTCTCTATGTGAGAAGTGATCTCAAAGCAAGCGTGAAAGAGGACCAAGTTGATGAAGAGTGTGATGAGGCTGAAGCATTATGGGTGGAACTGCATATGGATGTGCGTAGTTCAAAGTTAATCATTGGAGTTTGTTACAGGCCACTGAGTGTTAATGAGGAGATGGAGACTCAGCTCCTTACACAAAAGGCTGAAAGGGCTGTCACAGTGATAATAATGGGGGTTTTAACGACCCTGATATTAATTTGTGTATTGGGACTGTTGGAACAGTTAAAGGTCAAAACATTCATAAACCTATTACAACACAATTTTATAGTATAGTTCATAGAGCCCCCGACTAGGAATGATGCTCTGATGGACCTGGTAATCTTAAAGCCTGCAGAGCTTATTACTAATGTCCATATAAAAGAACATTTGGAGAGCAGTGACCATAACATTATTTCACTAAATGTTAGCTGTAAACAACACACACATACTGGAAAGATAAAAACACTTAACTTTAAGAGAGCAAACTTTGCAAGGCTGAGGGTTGCTCTCCAAGACTTAGATTGGGAGGGAATATTGGCATCGAAAAACACAGGACAGAAATTCTTAAAAAAGATTGTATGTGAACACACTACAAAATATATTCCCATGGGAAACAAGTATATTAGGCTAAATATTAAACCTATGTGGCTTATGGCCAAAGTTAAAAAAGCTATAAATAATAAGAAAAAAGATTTAAAAAATATAAAAATGAATTACTACTGATCCTATTATGATTCTGATTTCCCTTCACGATTCCACCATTTCGGCTCTCCCTCATCTCGAGATGGCTCTGCCGGTCCTCCCATCTACGGCTCCAACCGCAGACCTTCTGAGGTGCGTGTGGAGTGCGGTAAAAGCATCCTTTCATATCACCGGGTTCCTCTCTAGTACCCCCTTGTGGAGCAATAAGCAATATGTAGAATCAGCTAAATTAGAGGATTTCCGTGAATGGAGGGAACGAGGCTTGAAATTTTTATCTCGGCTGTACTCAGGGGAAACTCTGAAGTCTTTTTCACAATTGTGAAGGGTGGTGGTAGTGAATGTGGTATACTTGGACAGAGGGGTGGCGGTGGACGTAGTATACTTGGACAGAGGGGTGGCGGTGGACGTAGTATACTTGGACAGAGGGGTGGCGGTGGACGTAGTATACTTGGACAGAGGGGTGGCGGTGGACGTGGTATACTTGGACAGAGGGGTGGCGGTGGACGTAGTATACTTGGACAGAGGGGTGGAAGTGGTATACTTGGACAGAGGGGTGTCGGTGGACGTGGTATACTTGGACAGAGGGGTGGAAGTGGTATACTTGGACAGAGGGGTGGATGTGGTATACTTGGACAGAGGGGTGGAAGTGGTATACTTGGACAGAGGGGTGGAAGTGGTATACTTGGACAGAGGGGTGGAAGTGGTATACTTGGACAGAGGGGTGGCGGTGGACGTGGTATACTTGGACAGAGGGGGCGGTGGCGGTGGACGTGGTATACTTGGACAGAGGGATGGCGGTGGACGTGGTATACTTGGACAGAGGGGTGGTGGTGGGCATGATATATTTGGACAGAGGGGTGGTCTCTTGATACACTATATATATTGTATATCTCTATAAATTGTATACAGGGGCGGACTGACCTTTTGGAAACTTGGGCACTGCCCAAGGGCACGGGGTCAGTAGGGGGCCCATGAGATGCCCCTGGTACCTTTTTCATAGACTTTTTTGAGTTTGGGCAAGGACACAGGGGCCCCATGATCCCCTTTTGCCCGGGGGCCCCATGAGTTGTCAGTCCGCCCCTGCACACGCCTATTTGTCAGCCGTCTCACTGGAATTCCCTTACAGACAGCCTAAAGCACAGTAAACTGGCCTTTTTTTTAGATAGTATGGAACCCCCTGATCTGATTGTTTGCTAACAAGTTGAAATGCGCACATCTGTACCTTTTAGCAGCAAACCGGCACTCAGAAGTCTGTGACGTTACAAATCCATCTCTATTACAAAAAACCTTAAAAGCAGGCAAAGCTCATCGCTTTCACACTGGAAGCGAACAAGTCGTGACTACGAAGGTTTCTAGGCTCTATGACAACGTTTTGTGCTTCAGTAACAAAGATGAGCTTTGAACATGCCATGGCTAAAAGCTTTCTGCGAGCTTCAAATGTGGAAGCAAAGCGCCAGAGCGGAGAAGTTTACATCAGTACACAATGGATGATCTGTACATAAGAGTCATACAAACGAAACATCCGCTAATTTACATTAAGAGTCATTAAGATTAAGATTCATCCCTCCCTGCCTTGGAATTTTACGCATTTTATAAAAATCAATTGAAATGGAATTTTTGTTATTCGATTTATGCAGCATGCATAACAGTTTGAAGGTTCAAATATTTTTTTTTATTGTGACCCAAAAGTTAAAAGGTATGTCAGAAAAAAAAACAAACAAACTATATTTAGTACTACCCGACCGCCTTATAGCAGAACTACTGTTACACGGCGGCGGGGGCTGCGCAAAATCACAAATATATTCCTAACCTCGGAAACCACTAAGCAACTTATTCCCTCCCTTGTTATATCTCGCCTTGACTATTGTAACTCCCTCCTCATTGGCTACCGAATCGCAGGCTATCCCCTCTTCAGTCTATCATGAATGCTGCTGCCAGACTCATCCACCTTACTAACCAGTCTGTATCTGCCACCCCTCTCTGCCAATCCCTCCACTGACCTCCACTCAGTGCCCTCCACCCCTCCCTGCCAATCCCTCCACTGGCCTCCGCTCAGTGCCCTCCACCCCTCTCTGCCAATCCCTCCACTGACCTTCACTCAGTGTCCTCCACCCCTCTCTGCCAATCCCTCCACTGGCCTCCACTCAGTGCCCTCCACCCCTCTCTGCCAATCCTTCCACTGGCCTCCACTCCTCTCTGCCAATCCCTCCACTGGCCTCCACTCAGTGCCCTCCACCCCTCTCTGCCAATCCCTCCACTGGCCTCCACTCAGCGTCCTCCATCCCTCTCTGCCAATCACTCCACTGACCTCCACTCAGTGGCCTCCACCCCTCTCTGCCAATCACTCCACTGGCCTCCACTCAGTGGCCTCCATCCCTCTCTGCCAATCCCTCCACTGGCCTCCACTCAGTGCCCTTCACCCCTCTCTGCCAATCCCTACACTGGCCTCCATTCAGTGTCCTCCACCCCTCCACCCCTCTCTGCCAATCCCTCCACTGGCCTCCACTCAGCGTCCTCCACCCCTCTCTGCCAATCCCTCCACTAACCTCCACTCAGTGGCCTCCACCCCTCTCTGCCAATCCCTCCACTGGCCTCCACTCAGTGCCCTTCACCCCTCTCTGCCAATTCTTACACTGGCCTCCATTCAGTGTCCCCCACCCCTCTCTGCCAATCCCTCCACTGACCTCCATTCAGTGTCCTCCACCCCTCTCTGCCAATCCCTCCACTGGCCTCCATTCAGTGTCCTCCACCCCTCTCTGCCAATCCCTCCACTGGCCTCCACTCAGTGTCCTCCACCCCTCTCTGCCAATCCCTCCACTGACCTCCACTCAGTGCCCTCCACCCCTCTCTGCCAATCCCTCCACTGACCTCCACTCAGTGCCCTCCCCCCCTCTCTGCCAATCCCTCCACTAACCTCCACTCAGTGCCCTCCACCCCTCTCTGCCAATCCCTCCACTGGCTTCCCATTGCCCAACGGATAAAATTCAAAACATTAATAAAATGTGATTTTGTATTTCCAAGTAGGGGACATGAGCGCCCTACCCGCGCTGCCATTGGTGGGTTCAGCTGTCGTTCACTGGGTCCCAGCCATTCCCCACCAGCACCCAGCGATTGTTGAGTATTACTGACGGGGAAGAGGTCTGTATGTAAACAATACAGATCTCTCCCCTGTCAGCTCCAGCACACTGATTTGTATGGCTCTGCATAAGCAGCATGCTTACATAGTAAAACACACACAGCACACATTTAACCCTTTGATTGCCCCGGATGTTAACGCCTTCCTGCCCAGTGCCATTAGTACAGTGTCAGTGCTTTTTATTAGCACTGGTCACTGTATTGGTGTCACTGGGGATGTCAGTGACACCAAGTCAGTGTCAGAATGCCCATCGCGGGTCCCGCTATAAGTCGCTGATTGCTGCCATTACTGTTTTTTTTTTTTGGGGGGGGGGGGGCGCATGTAGCTGGTTTTGCCTAGGGCGCAAAATACTCAAGCACAGCCCTGCTGCCACCCCCCTACATCCCCACAGCCATCACCTTCCGTTGCTGCAGGGGTTAATACAAGTGCTAGGCCTACATCAAGAGTGCTGACTATTTCTGCCCTTTCTGCTCCCCCTCTTCCATTCGCAGGAGCTGTACTATAGCTTCCATCAGTGAAAACGCATCTGTGAATGGAGGACGCGGGTAGATGAATTTAAAGTCAACCTCTTCCATTCATAGAACATTTTTCATTGCTGAAAATTATAGTGCAGCTTCCATGAATAGAGAAAGGGAGAGAAAAGGGTGGGCATAGCTGGCACTGGAAGATTACGGCTGTTGGGGTATGGGGGGAATGGGGCAGGGAAGAGGACTTCACATTTCAACAAGGACAGTTGGTATCAGCACAAGGGACACTTTGGATTAAATGTAACTACAGTGCGTTGTGCTGATTTAACCCCTTGGTGCCGGCATCTCCTGGCCCTTTAAGGGTTTCAGAAGCTGGGAGGCGGAGCGGGGTTTAGGGCCATCATGGTGGTCACATGATTGGGAAAGGTCCGGATCGCAAGAGGAGATCGGGACTTTTCCGTGAGTACCAGACATGTGTGCTGGGAGTGCACAGGGTGCGCGCTCTCAGCACATATGTTTTTCTTAATTGCGCGCAAATGTGCGGCTGCTCGGCGTCAAGGCGCAGACTCTGGGAGGCCGCACATTTGCACCAAGAGGTTAAAAAAAAACACTAGGACCTGTTGCCATCAACTTTGATCTTTGAAGTGTGATCCACGCTCAGATTGCTCTTCAGAGAACATTTGAAAGGTGGCGAGGAGGCATTGTATCCCCTGCATTAACCCCTTGAACCCCGCAACCATGTTTATTGCACAAGCTTTCAGGGTGCTTACAGAGTTGCCACATTTGCTTGAATGAGTCGCATTTGGTGCTGAAAGCAACATGTATAATTCCTGCTTCATCCGCAAAGCATCACAGCCATCTGTACATCCCCGGCTACTACTTTTGCAGCTAAAGGGGGAGCAGATAGGGGGTGGTAAAAAGGCGGCACAACCACAGGGTTTTACCACCCCTCAACCACTAGTGTGAATGAACCCTAAATGATGTATTAATGGTTACAGAGCTGCATTTATTTGTGTCTTTTATATCTGCCTAGATAGCTTTAAAGCGGAGTTCCACCCAAAAGGGGAAGTTCTGCTTTAAGGACAGCTCCCCCGCTCCCCATTAACCCCCCTGGCGGTATTCCCGAGTGTAGCTCGAGGTAAAGTTTCTGCACCACAAGCGGTAACCCCAGGGGCAGACTGACCATTTGGAAGGGGTCAGTATGTCAGTAGGGGGCCACATGAGATGCCCCTGGTACCTTTTGTATAGGCTTTTTTGAGTTTGGGCAAGGACACAGGGGCCCCATGATCCCCTATTGCCCGGGGGCCCCATGAGTTGTCCGTCCGCCCCTGGGTAACAATGAGCTACACTTGGGAATACACTGCAGCGTTGCTCCGGGATCTCTTCTTCTCTTACCTTGTCCTGCACTCCCCGCGATGTCCCCCCTGCAGTGTCCCCTGTAATGTCCTCCGGCCGATGCCGGCATCTGTCATCCGGGTTCCGTTCCCTGCGACGCCGGGATGTACGGGGGACGGAACTGGCGGGAAATTTGAAAATTGTAAAAGTGACATTCACTAAATACACTAAAATCACATAGTATAACATTCCTGTATCAAACCATTTCACATACATTTTGTCCCGAGTGCTTTGTCCTGCGCCCTGCCTGCATTTTTACTGTTCTTTTCTGCCTGGAAACTGAGAAATGTCCATGGCGTCCAAAAAGCGTCCCTTTAGGTCAAAAGCGGTTTTAGATCGGCTAGAGCAGTGGTGGGCAACCTTTTTTTTCAACTGAGCCAAATCTCGCCAAAACCATGATTGAAATTTATTTTGAGAGCCACATTTTTAAAACTGAAAATACATCCCCCATATAGTAATTCATCCCCCATATAGTAATTCATCCCCCATAGTAATTCATCCCCCATATAGTAATTCATCCCCCATAGTAATTCATCCCCCATATAGTAATTCATCCCCCATATAGTAATTCATCCCCCATAGTAATTCATCCCCCATATAGTAATTCATCCCCCATAGTAATTCATCCCCCATAGTAATTCATCCCCCATAGTAATTCATCCCCCATATAGTAATTCATCCCCAATAGTAATTCATCCCCCATATAGTAATTCATCCCCCATATAGTAATTCATCCCCCATAGTAATTCATCCCCCATATAGTAATTCATCCCCCATAGTAATTCATCCCCCATATAGTAATTCATCCCCCATAGTAATTCATCCCCAATATAGTAATTCATCCCCCATAGTAATTCATCCCCCATATAGTAATTCAACTCCCATAGTAATTCATCCCCCCTATAGTAATTCATCCCCCATATAGTAATTCATCCCCCATATAGTAATTCATCCCCCATAGTAATTCATCCCCCATATAGTAATTCATCCCCCATATAGTAATTCATCCCCCATAGTAATTCAACCCCCATAGTAATTCATCCCCCCTATAGTAATTCATCCCCCATAGTAATTCATCCCCCATATAGTAATACATCCCCCATATAGTAATTCATCCCCCATATAGTAATTCATCCCCCATAGTAATTCATCCCCCCTATAGTAATTCATCCCCCATATTGTGTCAATTCACTTACCTTTGCTCTGCGCGTTCCTCTCGCCGTGTTCCCGCGCCGTTCCGGTCTTCAGGGCGGACTGTGAGAGGAGAGGAGTTCGTCACGCTGCCCCCGCCTACATCCTGACAGCCAATGTTTGCCACGCTCCGCGGGCCGGATTAAAAGGCCCGCCGGGCCGTAGTTTGCCCATTGCTGGGCTAGCTGCAGAGTCCTGACTTTTGGGGCGGCCGCCCGAGAGGAGGGAGGGGAGCGGGCGCCCAGCACACAGAAGAGCCGCATTAAAGAGTGTAAAGAGCCGCATGTGGCTCGCGAGCCGCGGCTTGCCGACCACTGGGCTAGAGAACAGCGATAGTAAATCAGAACCACTTGCAGAATTGAATGCTAATGATTTGTGGGGGAAATTCCTCATCAGACACTGAAAACGATTCTGCGACTTTGCTCAGCGATGTGTGAACTTGGCGCTATATTTCAAATTTCAGTGTTTTTGGTTTGATTATATTATTGAATTAAATTTATTATCATTATATTATTATTTTTATGATTATTTATTAAATTATAATTTATGATTTTGTGTTTAAAATTTTATCATACCTGGGATGTTTACTAGACTCTCGGACAGATTTCAGTGAGTTATTCCTAAAAATTACAGGCCTACAATAAAAAAAATACATATTTCCATGCAAAAAAAGTACCGCTTTGAGCACAGAAATATGGACACAATCAGACCGCTAGGGAGGCTACGGATTGGCACCTTTGGGGGGAGGGGGGGGAGCGGGTACCCGAATTTGACAGGTACCCGCTCCCACTTCCGGTCCGATTGCCTAGGTGATCGGAAGCGGAAGGTGTCCTCCCTCCCTGCAGTCTTTTGGGACACGTGACAGGTCCCAGAAGACTACACAGGACCATTCACGAAGCACAGCGCTTCTTGCACATGCGCAGTGGGTACCCGGCTATGAAGCCGCAAGCTATCACACACACTGAAGATGTCGGCCTCCTGGAATACTGGCCGGTGAAACAGGCTGCGGGGGACACACCGTGGAACCGAGGGACAGGTAAGTGGCTGTTTTTTAAAAGTCAGCAGCTACAGTATGAGCCAGACGGCGGAACTGACAACATCCATGGGGACCCCTGGGGCCAATAGGGGATCATGGGGCCCCTGTGTCCTTGCCCAAACTCAAAAAAGCCTATGAAAAAGGTACCAGGGGCATCTCATGGGGCCCCCTACTGACCCCCCGGCCCTCGGGCAGTGCCCGAGTTTCCAAATGGTCAGTCCGCCCCTGGTATGAGCCTACTGTGGCCGCGCTCTGGATCTGTAGCACAGTTTCTACTCCTATCAATGTCTTGAAGAGTCGGCGCTCACAGAAGAAGAAAAAAAAAAAAATACCAGAAATACATTGTTCTTAGGTCTCCATTAAAGCGTGGACGGGGACGTTGTCCTGAGCGACGGACAAATTTAGGTTTTCCTAAAATACTACAATGCATTTCCAGCTGCTCTCCACCTCTCCAGCAGGTAATAAGAAATGTGGAACAGATTGGAAAATAGAAAGAATTCTTGTAAAAGTGAAAGCCGCCCGTACAACATTCATAGCTCCATACAAGAT